ATATCTTTGTAAGAAGTTGATTTTTGGTAGTGATTTAAACCATAAAAAAGATCTTGTTTAGATATGAGCTAAACTAGTGAAAAACTCGTGTTTGGTTTAGGGATTTCTTAGGAAGTCTTCTCTTTGTTCATGAGTTGCACCCATGTGTAAAAGCTATCATTTGGTTCGTGAATATCAACCATGAAATTCTCCACAAGGTTCTTGAGCTCAGCCTAATTTAAAGGTGTGTTGGTTTCGAGATTGTCCTAGTGTAAAATATCTTACAAGGTTCTTTAGCTCAACCCAATATGAAGGCTTTGGTTGGTTAAGAGGACATAATGTGAAAACCACATCTTGGTTCAAAGGTCAATCTGTGTAAAATATCTATTTGGTTTGGAGGATACTCGGTGGAAAACTCCATGTTCGTTTGTAAGAAGGTTAATGCTTAAACCTATAAAAATATCACACAAGATCATAGTGGAAACTCTCAAGAAGAAATTTATAGGGAGAGGAGTAGGTCACTTGGTTATAACAAACCTCTATAATTTATCGATACCTTTCTTGTTGGGTAGGAATACGGAGTAGAGAAACAGCCTAGAGAAGGGTGAATAGATCCTTTTAAAAAAACTGATTGATGCTCAAAGTGAGATATCAGAGTTTTTCAAACACGCAGAAGTCTTAAAGAGAAAATAGAGAGCTTATGCTTATGTCATAAATCAACCACAAATACAATTTACACAATTCATAATATACCAGATTGTTCAAAGATAATTCACAAAAAGTCACACAATATATTACATTGACAAGTTGTAAATTATACGAGATGAGTTATTTACAAAAATTCAATAATCTCGGGATTCTAACGTCACTAGTCCATATGATTTAATCAGCACAAAAACTCAATTAGGTTCAAATTCTAACAAAAGCAAATTATGCAATAAATCGCTACCAATAGGAATTAACGATAAACTACACAAAGAAACAATAACCTAAACATGCAATAGCCTATGTAAATTAAAATGTAAGAAAGAGAGAGAGAGAGAGAGAGACAGAGAGAGAGAGAGAGAGAGAGAGAGAGAGAGAGAGAGAGAGAGAGAGAGAGAGAGAGAGAGAGAGAGAGAGAGTACACCAATATGTATATCGGTTCAACTCTGTCATCCTCACAAGAGCCTACTTCACACTTCAATAGTTTTCTATTAGAAGTTATTTTCCTCCACTATGTTTTGATAAATATTATACGAGTTTATACAATCACCAATCCACAATAATGGTGAGAAGAATATATCTTTTATCTTGATCTTGACTTGTATACAACTTAATTCCAAACTCTTATGTGAAATCTTTACTCAATTCTCACTTCCTGAATCTTTTAGACTCACCAATCTACTCACAATCTTCGTGTGTGGCAATCACCCCTTGATCCCACATATTTCTTGAGCGATGAACTGTTCGAAGATTGAGAAGAATTCCACCTTATTTATAGCCTTCCACATAATCACTACCAAGGTCAACCTAGAGAGAAGAACCTCCTTCTTTGCACTAGAATTTGTCACTACCAATGAAAACAACCAAAATCATGCAAGCTTCCATAAGATTTTCACAAAACCTTTAAGAATGATTAGTTTTAAGACACATCTTTCTCAACAATCACGAATCTCCATAATCAAAATATGAAATTAAACTAGATGTTGAAGATGAAAGAAATTCTGTTTGCAAGAGTTTTTGAGATTTCAAAAATGAGAAGGTTTTTGATTTCATAAAATCAAAATTTTTATTATGAAAGTTCTTAATGAAAATAAGGTGACATAATGAATTTATATGTGATGAAGATTATGCACAAAATAGGTGAAAAATGGGTTATTAGATTCGAGTCGAGAACAATTTATGACTTGATTCAAATGAGCAAGTATAGTGAAACAAGATCAAGATAAAGAAAGTGACTCATTTTCATGTGATTCAAGTCATGTTGTAGCTTTGATTCGAGTCATGAAGGCTCGTGATTCGAGTTTGATTCAAATTAATTTGGACATAGTCAACTAGGAAAAAGTGAAAAGTTGAATGATTCATGTCACATAGAAAATGTGATTTGAATCAAATGAGGCAGTGGCTAACAGGAGGTATGTGATTCGAGTCATGTACAACTTACAATTTGAGTCACCGAGTTGCATGATTCGAATCACGTGTAAACTGTGATTTGAGTCACAGACACCATAATCATCCTATTTTTCTTTGTTTTGATTCGAGTCATGGAATATGAGTGACTCAAGTCATACCCACCTAATATTAATTTTTAATTTTTTTCAAAATACACACCCGTGGTAAAAAACAGTCTGCTTAGAATCACACACTACCTAACAACAGACATACAACAGTCATTATATGTATTTCACAATTGTTGTCATATGCGTTTTTCGTAGTAGTGATACCACACTAAAGCAAGACATTGCCTTCATCTCGATCGTTGATATTCATCTAACGGTCTCCCGTTCTCGCGTCAAATCAATTAGTGAGAGTTCTAATCATTGTCCTTATATAAGTGTGACTGTGAGTCACACTGAGGTATGATTCATTCACATACTTGTAAATTTCATCTATTTTATTTACTGACTTGAATATTGAAGTGTTAATTTTGCATATACTCCTCTCTCGTTAGAAACCTCTATCCCCGTATTAGAAGAACTTTTATGATTGTCTTATTCAACCTATTATAATTTTTTTATTCCACTGTATAATATAAATAAAATAAGGAATAAAGTGACAAAGTGATTTGTAATCATTTTTAAATAAGTAGATAATCCTTACTTTTCTTCTATTCTGATTCCAAAACCAAATTTATTCAAAGTTGACTTGAGTCAAAGTTAACATATTCATGTTAGGTCGCATGAAATAATTAATAAAAAAAGTATTAATGGACTCACATTTATAACAAGTGCAAAACTTATACAAAATTTATTATTACCCTAACTCAAAGTGCCTTCAGTTTTGCAAAAAGTATTATTGCATGCATTGACCATAAGGACTACATAGTCTTAATTTAAAGCCTCAATGATGACGTTCTTAATCCGATATACTTTCCAAATAGAAAAAGATCTTAGTCTCAAAGATGAATGCTTTGAAAAATCCCATTCCCATGTGTGGCAGCCACTCAAGTAGCATGCTAATATACAATGTATAATCAACAATCAGAAAAAGCAAAGAAACTCTATTAAAAGGGAAAAGAGAAAATTTCATGATTAAGTTGGTTGGAATTAAACATCCCGAATTTAAGAGACATTAATATCAATATTCATCATAAATTTGATATATATGTACCATCTCTCACTCTGACACGGATACATTTAATATTTCTTTCATTTTTAATTAATACGAGACTTAATCACTTATATTTGAATTCAACAATTTTTTTTTACAAGTGTGACTCATTTATATCATATATTCACCAAAAATTTGATGCATTAGATATATGAACCATCTCTCTCTAGTACATTTAACATTTCTTTCATTTATATCACTGACATTGTAAAATTGTATATACTAAAATTCTTCTCTATAAAAATTTTTATAAGTTTGCGTCACCTTCATTATTAATCTTGATCAATAGTAGGATCTTGCTCCAACTCCTCCAACAAATTAAATCTGAGCTTTGATTTCAGAGACTAAAGAGTATTTGGAGTCAAGGCTGATTCAACCTAGTATATTTTTAAAATTTTAGAGTGAGAGTGAGATTCTAAATCACTAGTTTATCTATACTCGAATCTCATTCTCACTCTTTAAAACTTTTTTTGTCACTTGCATCAATAACCTTGATACTAAAATGCCGCCTTCACTCTATTTTACATATTTATAATTAAATTGAAAAAAAGTTCTAACGCAGAATTTTGATACTCAAAACTTTAGTTTGGGTCACTTGATACTCTTGGAGTTTTGTCTGGAGCATCAATGAGTTAAACGTTTATACTCTTTAAAAGAAGATATATAATTCATATTTATCATATCTTAAAATTTTAAGTGAATATATAGTATAAAAATCTCTTTAAAGTTATAATTTTAAGTGAATATATAGCAGTGTTTTAAAAACCGGACCGGACCGGCCGGTCGGACCGGTTAGACCGGGAACCGGCCTAGTAACCGGTCTGGTTTACTAGTTCGATCGTCTGTGTCATCAAATCGGTAAAAACCGGAAAAAACCGGGTTGGACCGGGAAAAACCGGGTTTAGGGTTGGACCGGTTCTAATGCATTTTTTATTTTTTAATTAAAATTTAAATACAAAAGTTATAAAAATTAAAAAAAAATGTTTAAAATTAGATTATACTGCAATTATTTTGTAATTTTGTATTATTTTGTTAATTGTAATACATTTGTTTAAAATTTAAATTTAAATTATGAACTTGTGAATTTATGATATGATATTTTAAAAAAATTTAAGTACTAGTTATATTTTTTTAGAAACTGAATCATCCGGTTCGACCGGTTTTATATCTATATAATGACAGGTCTATTCAACCGAGTTATCCGGTTTAATCCGATTTAGTCATGCGGTTCGACCAGTGACCCAGTGGTTCAACCGATAAACCAGTGACCCAGTATCCTCACCGGTTCAATGACCGGTCCGGTTTTGATATATAGTGTAAAAATCTATTTAAAGTTCTAATTTTAAGTGAATATATAGCGTAAAAATCTCTTTAAAGTTCTAATATTAAGTCTATTGGCACTCGCTGCATTCCGAGACTCTCAAAAAATAGTTGAAAGACTAATTACTTGATCCGTATACCTACGGACACCGAATGAATGAATACATTAGATATATTGACATTTGTGGGAGACGAACAATACATAGATAGTGCTAACTAACATCCAATCATAACAAACATTTGTACTTTCTTTATTATAAATATCACAGTTTTAAGTATCACACTTCCTCACTCGGTCTCTAGCCTCTTTCTGCTTTGGCTTCCACATGCTTCAATTCTCTGCATGCATTAGTAGGATTGGATTGAAGCATATATATTTTAGTAGAACAATGGGTTGTTATTATTATTCCATAATATTCTATGTTGTTTTGTTTCTCTCCATTGAAAATTCTTTGACTTCTTCATTTGAAGATCAAAAGAGAGATAAGATTAGTTGGTTACCAGGGCAACCAGAGAATGTTGGATTTGAACAGTATTCAGGTTATGTGACTGTGAATGAACAGAATGGAAGAGCACTGTTTTACTGGTTGACTGAAGCACCACTGAGCCGTGCACCCAATTCAAGGCCACTGGTTTTATGGCTTAATGGTGGTCCTGGTTGTTCTTCTATTGCTTACGGTGCTTCTGAAGAAATTGGTCCTTTTCATATTAAGTCTGATGGCAAATCACTTTACTTGAATCCTTATGCTTGGAACAATTGTAAGTCGATTCAAGTCTTTGTCGTTTCGATTCGTATGAAAAAAATTCATTTCTATAAATATTTATGCATATTTGTTATTTTGGATGTTGCAGTGGCAAATATACTGTTTCTTGATTCTCCTGCTGGTGTTGGTTTTTCTTATTGTAATAAAACAGAAGATATGCACACATTTGGTGACCAGAAAACAGGTAATGTAGTCTGAAACTATGAAGCACAAACATCGCGGCAAATTTAACATACTGTTCCTTGATTCTCTTGCTGGTGTTTGTTTTGTTTTAGCAATGAGAATTGACATGTTAATATGTATCTTAGATTTGAGTTTGTTGCCTTTGCAGCGGAAGATGCATACATTTTTCTTGTTAATTGGTTTGAAAGATTTCCTCAATATAAGCATAGAGAATTCTTCATGGCCGGCGAAAGTTATGCAGGTGAATCCATATTTGATACTTGATTGATATATCAGTTTTCTACTTATCATTGCAGAATTGTTCATTTTCTTAAAAAATTAAATGATTTTCAGGTCATTATATTCCTCAACTGGCTCAAATCGTTAACAAGCGAAATAAGGGAATCATCTATCCAACTATAAATTTTAAGGGATTTATGGTAAGATTGTTAGATTCATCTTTTCATAATCTCGTAGGGTGTTGGCTCAGAGCTTAGTTTTATGATTGTTGTCACAGGTTGGAAATGGTGTGACAGATGATTATCATGATTACGTTGGTACATTCGAGTACTGGTGGACACATGGTTTGATTTCAGATTCCACATATAAGATGCTAAGAACTTCCTGTGATCTGGGGTCCTCTCAGCATCCATCAAAACAATGTTTACATGCTCTTACAGTTGCACAAGCCGAGACGGGAGAAATTGATGGATATAGCATTAATACACCACCTTGTAACAATACATCATCATCGCTTAGACGCGGCTTGAACCGTCGTTATGTAAGCTTAGTATGCTTTCAATTCATTCACCTTTATTTATAAAAACACAAGTTTTTTTATGATTACTTTTTCTTGTTTTCTTTTCCCCTCCTTACAGCCATGGATGTATAGAGCATATGATCCATGTACCGTAAGGTATTCTGATGTGTATTTCAATCGACCAGAAGTTCAGAAGGCCTTTCATGCCAATGTAACAGAAATTTCTTATGCATGGAAGGCATGCAGGTATATTACTTTGATTTAATAAACTGATACTTGTATCAGAATTTTGATTTTAAATTTTTTTTGGTGGACAGTGAAATTCTTTGGAATTATTGGTCTGATTCACCATTTTCTATGCTTCCTATCTATCAAGAACTTATTAACGACGGTCTCCGAATATGGCTATACAGGTACACCTTAACTAGATATTTCATATTCTGCAATCTAGTATTCTTGTTAATTAGCTTTGGAAATTTTGGTTGCAGCGGAGACACTGATGCTGTACTTCCACTGACTGCAACTAGATATTCTATTGCTGCTTTGAAGCTACCAACCATCATCAATTGGTACCCTTGGTATGATAATGGCTTGGTTTGTGGATGGAGTCAAGTTTATAAAGGGCTCACATTCGTGACAGTACGAGGCGCTGGACACGAGGTTCCTCTTCATAAGCCGCGCGAAGCGTTTATTCTTTTTAGATCATTCTTGGAGAACAAATACATGCCACCATCATCAAGTTAATCATGTTGAATAAACTTTAATGTTATAGTTAATGAGTTTTTACTATTAAGTTAATGGAGAGTTTAAGAGTCTGTTGTAATTGGAAGGCCAAGAAATAGTGGGCAAATTAATAGTATTTACAAATTATTAAGTTTCCTAGAATAGCTAAAGCTTGTAAGTCTATATAAAGACCAAGAGTGTATTCTAATAAAATACAGAAGTTACAATAGAACTTGTTTTATTCTGTCAAATTGGCATCAGAGCTAATGGCAAACATGATGAATCAAATGCCATTGCCACGGCTAACGAAGTTAAATTACGAAAACTGGAGTATCCAAATGAAAGCACTTCTCGGATCTCTAGACGCGTGGGAGGTGACCAAAGATGGGTTTGAAGAACCAACAGATATTGGTGGATATACGGCAGCTCAAAACAAGGCGTTGAAAGAGACGCGATCGAAGGATAAAACGGCACTATACATGCTGTTTAGGGCTGTTGATGAATCAGGTTTCGAAAAGATTGCCGGTTCGACTACGTCGAAAAAAGCGTGGGACACGCTAGAGAAAGTGTTCAAAGGAGCAGATAGAGTAAAGCAAGTTCGACTCCAAACTCTTCGTGGAGAATTGGAGAGGATGCAGATGAAGGAGTCAGAAAATGTATCTGACTACATCACGCGTGTACAAAAGGTGGTGAACCAACTCACCAGAAATGGCGAAACAGTAACTGATGCACGAGTTGTCGAAAAGATTTTGAGATCTTTAACAGATAAATTTGAGAATATTGTGTGTGCAATAGAAGAGTCGAAGGACCTTTCGACACTGTCAGTCGAAGACCTCGCTGGTTCCCTCGAAGCACACGAACAACGAAAGATGAAAAAGAAGGAAGAAGGAGTAGAGGAAGCAAATCAAACCAAGGAGCAAATCAAAGACGAAAAAGTACTCTTTTCTCAAAATTTTCGAGGAAGAGGACGTGGTCGTGGAGGACGTGACGGTGGTCGAAGTGGTAGAGGCAGCAATTTTGGGAGAGGACAGTCGATCCAACAAAATTGGCGTGGCAGAGGACGTGGTCAAAGAGGTGGTAGGTCGAACCATTCAAATTTTGAATGCTACAAGTGTGGCAAGTATGGTCATTATGCGAAGGATTGCAACTCATTCAAATGCTATAACTGTGATAAAGTAGGACATCTTGCAAAAGATTGTCGAATCGAAAAGAAGGTAGAAGAAACAACCAATCTAACTTTGGAAGCTGAAGCAAATGAAGGTTTTCTCTTGATGGCTCAAAATGAGATCAACACAAATGACAATGTTTGGTATCTTGACTCAGGAGCAAGTAACCATATGTGTGGTCACAAACACTTGTTCAAAGAAATGAGAAAGATTGAAGACGGAAATGTGTCTTTCGGAGATGCATCGAAAGTGAAGGTCGAAGGCAAGGGAACGATCTGTTACTTGCAGAAAGATGGGTTGATTGGATCAATTCAAGATGTTTATTATGTACCAAATCTCAAAACCAACATCTTGAGTTTGGGACAACTTACAGAAAAAGGTTATTCGATACTTATGAAAGAACGAATAATGCATTTGAAGGACAAGTTGGGACATCTGATTGCTCGTGTCGAAATGGAGAGAAATCGAATGTACAAACTGAATCTGATAAACGTTCGAGAAAAATGTTTACAAGTAAATGTCGAAGACAAAGCGTCACTATGGCATCTACGCTTTGGTCATCTACATCACGCTGGATTAAAGAGATTGGCGAAAAGGAACATGGTGCATGGACTACCAGATATGGATTATGAAGGAAAGTTCTGTGAAGAATGTGTACTTAGCAAACAAACAAGAACCTCATTTCAAAAGAAGGCAGAATATCAGGCTAAGCATATCCTTGAATTGATTCACACCGACATATGTGGGCCAATCACGCCAGAATCTTTCAGTAGCAAAAGATACTTTATTTCCTTTATCGACGATTACTCACGGAAGACATGGGTTTATTTCTTGAAAGAAAAGTCTGAAGCATTCGAGGTGTTCAAAAGGTTCAAAGTAATGGTAGAGAAGGAAACCGACAGACACATTAAAGCAGTTCGATCAGATAGAGGTGGTGAATATACTTCGACAACCTTTATGAAGTATTGTGAAGAGCAGGGTATAAGGAGATTTCTAACTGCAGCATACTCACCCCAACAAAATGGGGTGGCTGAAAGGAAAAATCGAACAGTCCTTGACATGGTTCGCTCAATGCTTAAAAGCAAGAACATGCCAAAGGAATTTTGGGCAGAAGCTGTAAAATGTGCCATTTATGTTCAAAATCGATGTCCACATTCGAAGCTAGAAGATAAAACACCACAAGAAGCGTGGAGTGGACAGAAGCCAACAGTTTCTCATCTCAAAGTATTTGGAAGTGTGGCTTATGCACACGTACCAGATCAAAGAAGAACGAAGCTTGAAGACAAAAGTAAGAAATACATACTCATTGGGTATGATGAGAAAACAAAAGGGTACAAGTTATTTGATCCCATAAGAAAGAAGGTGATAGTGAGTAGAGACGTTCGAATAAACGAAGCAAGTAAGTGGGACTGGAACAGTTCGACAGAAGCTACTATCGAAGTTGAAGAATCATTTGTCGCTGTACCACCTAACATTTCGACAAACATTGAAGATTCTGACAACGAAGATGAACCTCTACAACCTAGAATGCGAAGTTTGCAAGATTTGTATGATTCGACAAGTGAAGTGCACCTTGTATGTCTCTTGGCAGACGCTGAAAACATTAGTTTTGAAGAAGCAGTACGAGACAAGAAATGGAAAAATGCCATGGACGAAGAGATGAGGGCGATTAATCACAACAACACTTGGGAGCTAGTTGAATTGCCAAAAGGTAGTCAACCCATTGGTGTAAAGTGGGTATTCAAGAAAAAGATGAACGCTCAAGGAGAAATAGAACGATACAAAGCGAGACTTGTTGCGAAGGGATACAAACAGAAAGCAGGAGTTGATTATGACGAAGTATTTGCACCGGTCGCAAGAATGGAGACAATTCGACTACTCATATCTCAAGCTGCTCAGTTCAAATGGCCAATATTTCAAATGGATGTCAAAACAGCTTTTCTGAATGGAATACTCGAAGAAGAAGTCTATGTTGAACAACCACTCGGATACATGAAAGCTGGAGAAGAGAAGAAGGTACTGAAATTGAAGAAAGCGCTATATGGGCTGAAGCAAGCACCGAGAGCATGGAACACACGTATCGACACATATTTCAAGGAGAACGGATTCGAGCAATGTCCGTACGAACATGCCCTCTATGTGAAGAAAAATGGAAGGGATGTATTACTTGTTGCTATTTATGTCGATGATCTTATTTTTCTGGGAAGTAATGATCAGATGATAGAAGAATTCAAAAACACAATGACACGTGAATTTGAAATGACAGACTTAGGCCTGATGAGATTCTTTCTTGGTCTGGAAGTTCGACAAGACGAAACAGGAATCTTCATCTCACAAGAAAAATGTGCAAAAGAAATCTTGAAAAGATATAAGATGGAAAGCTGTAATCCTACTTCGACGCCAATGGAACCAGGAACAAAGTTGTCAAAATTTGATGGAGGAGAACGTGTCGAAGCAGGCAAATATCGAAGTTTGGTAGGAAGTCTTCGCTATCTCACATGTACAAGACCAGATCTCTCATTAAGTGTAGGTATTGTAAGTCGATTCATGGAGGAGCCAGTTTACGCACATTGGAAAGCATTGAAGCGAATTTTGAGGTACATCCAAGGAACAATATCGCTTGGGATGTTCTACTCGAATTCAGACAAATACAAGTTGGTTGGTTACTCTGACAGTGATTGGTGCGGAGACATAGACGATCGAAAAAGCACTTCTGGATATGTGTTCTTCATGGGAAATACTGCATTCACTTGGCTTTCTAAGAAGCAGCCAATAGTAACACTCTCGACATGTGAAGCAGAATATGTAGCAGCATCCTGGTGTGTGTGTCATGCAATATGGCTCAGAAGATTGATGAGTAAAATGGAGCTAGAACAGAAAGGTGCAACAACGATACAAGTTGACAACAGGTCAGCAATTGAGTTAGCAAAGAATCCAGTAAATCATGAAAGGAGCAAACACATTGACGTTCGCTTCCACTTCATTCGAGAACACGTGAAGGAAGGAAATGTTGAATTGAAGCATGTAGCAAGTAAAGATCAAGCAGCAGACATTTTCACAAAACCACTATCAAAAGAAATCTTCGACAGAGGCAAGAAATTGATAGGCATGATGGATAGAAGAAACATTTAAGTTTACAGAGGAGTTTTGTTGAATAAACTTTAATGTTATAGTTAATGAGTTTTTACTATTAAGTTAATGGAGAGTTTAAGAGTCTGTTGTAATTGGAAGGCCAAGAAATAGTGGGCAAATTAATAGTATTTACAAATTATTAAGTTTCCTAGAATAGCTAAAGCTTGTAAGTCTATATAAAGACCAAGAGTGTATTCTAATAAAATACAGAAGTTACAATAGAACTTGTTTTATTCTGTCAAATCAGATGTATTTGTTCTTCTTCTTCACTTCAAGTATAGAATCGGAAAAGTACCTTACATTCTTATGAATAACTTTGATAATCATATATATATATATATATATATATATATATATATATATATATATATATATATATATATATATATATATATATATATATATATATATATATATATATATATATATATATATATATATATATATATATATATATATATATATATATATATATATATATATATATATACACACACACACACATGGAACAGCAGGCTGAGACAGAATAAGGAATGCATTCCTCATGAGTTCCATCTTGAATCTCTGCCTGCAAATTAAAGTTGATAAATGCACCAATGGCAATAGATGTGATTATTTTTATGAAAGTGTTTTTTTTTCAAATAAGAAAATCAATAGCATAAATAAAAGAGAGAATCAAGGTATAAGATGTGCCATGACAAGAAACATTAAACACAAAACCAG